CCCCGTCCCACATACACACACACACAAGCAGAGTCATTACGATCACACACGTGCACAGGGGTGGCCATTTACCGTAGGCAACATTTGTTCCTCCAACTCATTTTTCTTTGACTGGCCTCTTGTGCCTTTACTACAGTAGCTTTCTCTGCTGGTTAAACACTTGAGAACTGTGTGAAGTTCGTTGTTCCACTGTTCTATTTCTTCTTCCTCCCGTCTCCCTCTCCTTCCTCTTCTCCCTCTTCCCCCCCCCCCGTCCCCCCCTTGGGTAGCACTTCTCCCTCCCCTCCCACCTCTCCCGACTCCCTCCCCTCATGTAGAACTGCAAAATGCATAGGAATGAGCATCATTAAGAGAACAGGCAAAATATAAGGCGCAGGTGTGCTGAAAAAGTAAACAGGAGTGTTCGCATTCCATGCTACCCCTCCGTCTTTGCTCTGCCTCCTTTTCATAAAGCGCAAGTGGGCAGTTACGGCACACGGGGATGTGGGCAGCTCGCGCTCAACTACATCAACGTGGCAAGCCTTATACGTGACAAGCACGGTAAAGGGGGAGAAACCACGATAAAGCGAAAGCACGGAGAGAGAGGAAAGAACTGCAGAGTGAAAGACAAAACAACGGTTTTAGTGGTGCTTCATTTTGTCTGCTGTATTTTCTTCATTTACCTTCCAAAGTGTACTCCAATTTGGATCAACACATCTGCATGAAAAAGGGGTTGTCGCCGTGACAGTCTCAACGCACACACACACACACACACACACACACACACACACAGAGGCAGGCATGTAGGTGCCTGGTGTGGTAGGATGTATGTTCTGTGTGTGTGTTTTGAATTTTCACCACAACAGCACCTTTTCCACCCAGATGAGTATTTTATCCAAAAATAATCGGAGCAGCTTTAGTCCTCTTGCACACAACGATAAACACTTCAGTTGAGACAAACCAACAGTGAAACATTTACCTTCATAGCAAGCAACGCGGAGCAAAAATAGACGCGATTATGGTTGAGCGCGAGCTGCCCACGTCCCCAAGTGCCACAAGGGCCCGCTTGCACATTATGAAAGGAGGCAGGGTATATAATATATTCTTCAGATTTTCCTCAGATATTCAGCTTATATTTTTGTCTGTTCTCTTAATGATTGCTCATCCGTATGCATTTCCTAGTAGTACAGACGAGAAGGGAGGAAGGAAATAGGCGGTGGAGTTCTGTGTGTGTCGACAGATTGGCCATACACAACACACGCACAAAAACAAAGCATTACTGTCCCAGACTGTTTCGCCGAACTTTCACCGATTCATCAGGAAGGAGGTTGAACCCCTACAGACGGTCTTCCCAGGATGCATTTGACTGATGGATAAGAGGACTCGCCATGTCGCCCAGAGTAAGCGATACCCCTAGCAGACTGCAGGTCCAAATCCCTGCCGACAACACACTCTAACACACCCACTCAGTGGGTAGCATGCTGAGGCCCACTACACAAGCCCCTTGGGGACCCGACATTTGCACCAGGCCCTCCTGATCGTGCACCCTTTAGTCAAGCGGCCTGGAGGGCCACGGCCACCGTTTAGGCCTGTAGGCTCATATTTTTGTCCCATTTGCTTTTCTTCATGGTTATGATCCGGACGTCCAAACCACAGTGCAGACGGTCTGGGTCTGAATGTCCGTGTTCGGTCCAGAGTGTCCGTATCCGTCCCCCCACCCCCCCAAAAGAAAAATCCGACTGAAAAAAAAAAAGAAAGCACAAAACCCTGAAAAAAAAGATGTGTCATGCAGCGCATTGCAATACAAAAATATTTTCGCCGAGGACCATCTCAAAATTCACAGCCAAATCCAAGGGGTGAAAAAAAAAACAAAAACGTTTTCTTTTTTTCAGGGCATCGGGAGCAGTTGAGACACAGGTCCGGCCGGACGTCTGGATTGGTCTGGTGTCCGGTGTAACCATGCTTTTCTTTTGTTCAGCATTTATTTATTTCTTGCTGATTGAGTTTGGTGGTCAGTTCTGCCTGTTACTATTTTTGTCTGTTTCAGATGTGTCGGTTTGGACTCTTCTTCTTTTTATCTGAACAGGCAGGTGCCTGTTCGGACCAGTGGATTTTGGTTTTGACCATGGTACGCCAAGTTCTGTGGCCACGCGGTATGGAAAGACTGGCGTCTCGACTGGAAGAAGACATAGCTGAGCTATGTCTTCGGTTGCTCATATCCGAACCTCTCCTTGAGTGGAGAGGGAGTGCCTTTGCACTCAAGGATAGGGGCACCAGGCGACTTCCTCCTCTGTCCCACCTCTCACTTCACTACGTTTCTATCCTTGGAAATTACCGAACCATTTTCTCTTCAAACCCTAATTATATCGGCGGTTGCAACATCATGTTGACTACTCGTGCCCGCGAAAGCAGGCCCGACTCTCAGGCACAGATGACCGATGGGAGCGGCGGACCAAGAGCTACGAGTGCAAGTACTGGAAGAATGATCCGGGACGGCGTCGCAGCGGGCGGTGAGAGAGCCTGCAGCAATGGTGGGAGCGCGCCGGAAGATTTCAGAACAGGAGCGCCATTCTCGGGATGGGATCTCGTGGAAGATCTGGAGCTTTGAGGCTCTGCTTTTGGTGCTGGTTATACAGAGGCATTTTTCCCATTCTTATGCTTGGTATCTGGCCGTATCCATTGCTAATGGGCATTTAGATCTCCTGGCATCATCCATCTGCTGACATAGTTTGTTAGATTCACGTGCCGTGTGGTTTCTTAGGCTGATAGAAACCCACCCTGTTTTCTCTGTCGTATTTTAGGGTAATGATCGAGGTCGCTGTCGCTTGAATTTCCTGGGCAGTAAGATTCTCCCCTGGTGCTGATGCATATATTGCCTACAGTGTTTTTTCGTACTAAGAAACACGTAATGTAATGGACACGGTAACGGGTCATAGCAGTATGATCATGTAGCAGATGAGTAGATGGTTAAATATGTGTTAGCAGATGCCACGATCGATTAGCGTTGCTGCAGCAGCCTAAAAATGAGAGAGAACGTAATTCTTGAGTGGGTCAGGGTAAAAATTATGGAGCCACCAGCACCGGTGCCACCTTGAGCAGTGAGAGTGGGTCAAGGGGCAGTGCGAACGTTACTGGTAGGGAGGAACAAGAGAACCGGTGAAAAGCAAACTTGAGGTGTATGGGTGTGTGGTGGGAAACCCGTCTCGGCAGCTCAGGCTCTTTACAGTGTTGTGGACAGTGAGGATGAAAAGGTTGCCCTGATAGAGCTGAGGGAATCATGATGGATGAGATATTTAGTTCATATGCCTGCCTGCAGTTGCTTTGAGAAGGTCGCGGTAGTAGTTCCGGAATAGAAAAGTAGTTCAGGGCGAAAGTCACAGAGCCACTACCGTCTTTCCCCGAACACAACGCACCCCTCGTTTTGGCTGTATCTGGCCGGAAATATAGCATGTATGCATTCATTTTTAGGGTGCGTTATGTTCGGGGGAAGACGGTAGTAGCAGTGCCACCTTGAGCAGTGAGAGTGGGTCCAGGGGCAGTGGGAACGCTACTGGTAGGGAGGAAAGAGAGAACCGGTGAAGAGCAAACTTGAGGTGTATCCATTGGGTGCGCGGTGGGAAACCCGTCTGGGCAGCTCAGGCTCTTTACAGTGCTTTGTTTTGGACAGTAAGGATGAGAAGCTTGCCTGGATAGAATCGAGGGAACCATTGTGGGTGAGGAATGTAGTTGATAGGTCTGCAGTTATTCTGAGAAGGCTCTTGCCCAAATTAGACCAACAGACGAGGGAAGTAATTTAGAGTAACTCAGAGTGAAGTCCACGGAACTACTAGTAGCGGTGCCACCTTGAACAGTGGGAGTGTGACGAGAGGCAGCGGGAACGGTACTGGCTGGGAGGAAAGAGCGAACCGGTGAAAAGCAGACTTGAGGTGTATCCATTGGGTGCGTGGTGAGAAAAACCTGTCTTGGCAGCTCAGGCTCTTCACAGTGTTTCAGTCAGTGAGAGACGAGGGGATCACTGTGCTCCTAGGGTCTATAGTAGTAGATTTGGTTGGTAGTGGACAGTGTGTCCGGCTTTATTTGGTTTTCGAATTCATTTTATTTTGCTAGTTTAGACTAAGCTAAACCGGCTGATGCTGCCGGGATAACTCCGGGTCGAATTGTGAGGTCCCCGGCCTTGTCAATTGAACTTTGCAATACATGAGCTTTTCTTTAAAAAAAACAAAAAACAAAAAAAAGTTCAGATTTGTCCGCATCTGGAACTGGACCAGGCATTCGTCTAATTGTGTCTGGCCCAGTCTTCAGTACCCTACTGTATCAGCAGGGCTGCCTGGACATCTGGTAGGACCTGGGCAGATCGTTTTAGGCCAGGACGGCAGGACTGGGACCTGCGATCAGGACAGCCGATCCGACGGCCCAGATGGCAGACTGTTGGGCATCCAGCCAGACCCAGAGGTATATATCTGGGCCAGCCCTGGTGATGACATTTCGCTGGAGCAGCATTCAGGCGTCGCGCTGCTGGTGAGCAGCGCCCGTTTGGAGTCCAGCTGCGTTAGAGTAGCAATAACGGAGTACGAGTAGTGGGGAGCGCGAAGGCTGGCGGGCCTGACCGCAAGATGAGGTGAGTGGAGAGTTACCTGGCGCCGTAGCTGGGCCTTAACACCAGCGACCTGCACCAGAGGGGCAATCATCTTCACCGGTCAGTATCCGTGAGCATCATCAACATCAGGTGAGAGATAGATATCGAGAGGAGAGCTGCTCTTCTTCTGCTTCTGCTCCCCGACTCTTTTCCTGCCCTCCATATCCATTATTCTCTTCTTCTTCTTCTTCTTCTTTTTCTTCATCGTCGTCTCGTCTTCTTCTTTTCTTCTCTTCTTCTGCTGCTG